ATTCTAAATTGCCATCTACTCAAAATAATCCTTAGGTCAAAGTGACATATGTTAGCACAGCATATGCTGATCTTCATTTGTCTTTAGTTTTCACTGAATACAGTTAAGAACTCAGAACTTTCATTTTCTGCCCATTTTGGAACAAAAGGAAACTGGCAGAGGTCACATTTTACCATCATTAGATGAACCTAAAAATGAACCCAAAGACAGACAGCAAGCACCTTAGACTTAATATTAGACAAAATCTGGGAAATCTCAGACTGAATCTTCAGAGAAGAGTAACTTGATACAGTTCATAGGTGGACAAGTGTTGAATGCAGGTATATACATACGATGGTGACTAGAAGGAAACAGATGATGTGGGAAATTTTTAAATTCACTGGATTGGTTATGCTAACTGGCATCTACAAATCTAGAACTGAAAATATCTTGCAATTATGAAGCAAAGAAGATCACCAGCTTCCCTTCAACAAAATTAAGAACCCTCAAAGTTTCGAAAAATTCTTTAAGTATTGCATTTAATGATACACATGCAAAAAAGCCCTGGAATGATAAGCTAGAATTTATCATTAGTATTTTAAATATCAAATCAATATTTATAAGATGGAAACATCCCAGGTTCACATGACAGCTGATAAGTAGTTAGTCACATTCAATGTTGCCCATTTCAAGTACATATACACCTTCAAAACCCGGAAAACAGATATAAAAATCTGGACAACATGGGACAGTGAAACATCCTAAGCTTGAAAGATGTAAATCTACACAGAGCTTCAGAAAAGGAGAAAGAGTAGAACCAAGATTAATACAAAAATTGCAAGAATGGACAAAAGAATTTAAAATTTCTGTCAGGAATACAACTTGTGACAAATTTTTTGTAAGTGTAGAACTGGCTTAGTATTACCCAGCAAGAAATTTTCTTGATCTGGCAATATCAGGAAAAACAGGGTTGAACTTCTATGGATTTTCACAAATGAGAAGAAAAGTCAACTGCACATAATCTGAACTTCATACATATTTGATGAAGAAATACTTTTCCTAAGAAAAACTAGTTTTTCTTCTCAGCTCAATGCATTCCCAAGCATAAATGAATTCAAAAACCCTTTCAGGGGTGCCTGGGTGGCTCAATCCACTGAGCAACCAGCTCTTGATTTTGGCTCAGGTCATGAGATCAGGGTGCTGGGACCAAGCCCTGCACTTAGCAGGGAGTCTGCTTGAGGATTCGTTCTCTCCCTCTCCCCCAACTTGCACACTCTCTAAAAATAAATAAATTAATCTTAAAAAAAAAAAAAAACCAACCTTGCATAAATTAACATGGAGAGCCATATTATGAAAAAACTACAGGAGAGGTAGATACACTCATTAAGAGGGTCAGAACCTATACCGAAAGGAATGACTCGAAAATCACTTGCAAAGGAATGACACAGGAAAAGTTTCAATTACCAAGAAGACTCTTCCTCATGCAACTAGGAAAAGAACTTGTGGAAACCAGGGAAAGAATTTTGTCTAACCCTTCAACTACAACGTTTTTTTGCACATTTTTTATCCTGAAAGTGGGAAGAATAAAGGAAGATGTTCTTTGTGTGCATATAAAAACTAGAGAAGTATGGATATTCACTGTAGGGGTGGTATGCAATTAGATGCAGGATATATATTTGTTTTTCATGTGTCAAGATATATACAAAGGGATTATGTTTAAATTCTAATTAAAAACTCTAATGAGGTGTTTTACATAATCCCTTTATTTTTCTATAAAGTATATAATGAAATTTATATAAAATAAACTGTAAAAAAAAATAGTTCCTTTAAATCTAGATGGTGAATAGCAGTAAGCTATTTTTCCTGTTATGAGTTGAGTCCTTCAAAGAAAATTACTTTGTAGAAACGAATAAAAATTCCACATACACGTTTGATACAAATTACCAAGTATATCATTATTTATATCTTTAAAATAATCTGAGAAATCAGATTTTTTGAGTCCTCTGAAGCAGGATTATATATTTAATTAGTAAACATGTCATAAATAAATATATCTCACCTTTCAAAAGTTACTTTTGAAGCGTAACAAAATATGTTGTCAATAATCTCCAATTTCCTGTCACCTAAAACTATAGTTTACTTTCTATTTACCAAAATTGTTTCTCCATTCGGATACATCCCCTGCTGAATTTGTACAGGGGGTTAAAAAATCTTGGTATGGTTCTAAGTGTCCTCTTGAATAAATAAAGCAAGTGTGGAGAGAGGAGTGTACAAAAATTATATGTTCTTTTCCTTTGCCTTCTTGTCTCCTACTAAAAACACCAATTCAGAGTAGTAAAACACTGGACTAAAGAAGCAGAACTGGACTAGATAGTGTTAACTGGTACAAATGGTTGAAATGGGAATGCTGAGATTTGTAGTTCTCCAACATTTAACTAAGAACTTTCCTAATCACAGCTTACTACTGCTACAAGGGCCCTGAACAAACTTGGAAAACAGGTGAAGTCTGTGACATCTCTGATGTCAGGCTCCAATGGCAATGGAAGGCAGCAATTCAAAGTTCCCTAAACTAATAAGTTGGTCCTATCCAACTTTCTTTCACCCCCATTTCTAGAGGATTGCTCCCAATGATTTCATTATCAGATTACCGCAGGTAAATTCATGCCAATACTAATGCCAAAATATCACTCCCAACATTATTTGCTAATTGCAAAAGAAAAAGCTTAGCGTGGAAAGATAGTCTGTCACCGTTTTATTGGAGAGATCAAATTTAGGATTACTAATAGGGTAACATATAACCCTCCTTTATGTTCCTTCTGATGTTGTATAATGTGAAGTACACGGCATGACTTGAGTATTTTTGCCAAAAATAGTAAGCCTGATCTACACAAGCCTTCAAATCTAACTTCAAGTTTACAGAAAATACAGGGATAGAGGGTATAATTTAAACCTAATGAAGAGGAAACTATCAGTAAAATACAGAATGGGGGTTATTCTACAAGACTACTGGTAGCCTGGTCTCTTCAAAAGGTCAATGTCATCCAAAAAAAAAAAAAAAAAAAGAGGGTGGGGGGAACTACACTAAATTAAAAGAAACTAACAGAAACAAATGTACATGACTGGATACTGGTTCCAAAATAAATGACTAAAAAGGACATTTTGGGGACAAAGGGGAAAATGTGAATACATACTACCTATCTATATTAGACTGTAGAGATTATACTTCAGTACAATTAGACCGTATTGTGCTTATACAGAAAATTGGTCTTATTCTTATGACATCCACATAGACACATCAACAGGACGTAGGTGTGAACTGTCATGATACCTGCAATGTGCTCTGAAAATGTTCACCAAAAAACATGTAAGATAAGCAGATAAAGGAAATGTGGCAAGATGGCAACACTTTTAAAACTAGGTGGTACATATGAATGTGCAAATGGGCTATTCAATTTTTCACTACGTTTGGGGAAAAAATTAACATGAAAACTTCAGTAATAAAAGTTAAAAAGCTAACAGCAAACTCTTAAAAACAAAAATGTAAAAGGAGCAGTTGAGTATTTAAATTTTGTAGGTGAGCCTCCTTGCTTCTCCTCAGTCAGCTTATTCCCACAAAAGAAATATAATATAGTGAACTGAGCACTGAATGAGAAATCAGAAGACCTAAGGTTCTAGAAATGGTTCTATCACTTCCTAGACATGACCTCATTAAAGACGTCTCCCTGAGGCTCTTTCCTCATCTTCGAAACAGTTCCATAAACACAGAATAGTCCAAAAGGGGTCTAGAGGAACAAATCAAGCGTATCGATGGCAGATCCAAATGCAAGATACAATTATAACAGTATTTGTACTGATGTTTTAAACGTTAACAGCACACAGTCCTAACAATTCTCCAAGCAAACCTGTGCCTTCCATGGCACAGCAAGTTTCCGCTTAGCCTGAGTTGTCACTAATCCCCCAAAGCAGGACTTATCACAAATAATATAAGGTGGCTTTTGTACTTTAAAACTCTCCTCCTAGGTTTCAATTTTATGTCTAATGGCACTCAAAGACGTCAAATTCTTAAGACCTAGTCCAAATCTGAAAACAATGAAGTTTACGTTCACAGAATTTTCAAAAACAAATCTTTGCAAACAAAGAGAACCCCTTGGACCAAGGTCTTCCCGTGCTTGCAGAAGCGGGTACCCTTTGAGATTTCTCCTCTCTAGCAAAATTTCTCCTTAAAAGCCTTCAAACTTGAGCTAAGTTGGGAGGAACTCCCTCCATCTGTAGAGCAGGATAAAACCTCAGAGTGAGCTCATTCTTTCCGTCTCATTAAGTGAAACCTGAAAACTCGGTCAGTAAATTGTGTATCCAACTCCACGTTTCTCCTCAGGCCCTTCTGTAGACAATAACGGGCAGAGCAGGGAAGTCCCTTTGACAAGAACTAGGGTGTGAGCGTGGGATGACTGGTCACCTGGGCGGGAGGTGGAGGGTAGGGGGGACAGGGGCCCTCGGGCCCTGGATGCCTGGAAGTTCGGAACCCCCTCCGGTCTCCGTCTACCATGAAGAGACTCCGGGGAGCGTTGTTGTTGGGGAAGCATGGGTCCCCGCCAAACATCGGCACAAAATGTACAGCGGACCAAGGGGAGCAGTAGAGAGAAAAGCCAAACCCAGGCTGGGGGAAAACAGGCGCACAGGCCCTGGGTGCCGAGGTGGAGGAGGTGCAAGAGGAGGAGGAGGCGAAGGAGGCGGAGGAGGAGACGGAGGAAGAGGTGGCGGAGGCCTGCGCGGCTCTGGCCTGCCGCACCAAGCCGTCTGCCGCGTCGCGCCGGGATCCCTCCCCCGCCGGGGCCGGCGCAAGATGGCCGTCCGGCCGCCGCCGCGCAGCCGGTCCCCTCCCCCGCGCCCTGGGCGCTCTCGGCAAACCGCGCCGGCCTCGACACCCCCGGCCCAGCGCCCCCGGAGTGAGGCGGCGCAGGCCGCGCGGGAGGGCCTCTGCCTGCTGCAGCGCGGGGCGGGCGGGGGCGGGGGGCGCTTACCGTGAGCGGAGCGGATCGGCCTGACTGGGGCCCTGAGGAGGAGGAGAAAGAGGAGGAGGAAAAGGAGGAGCACGAAAAACTACACAGCGGCGACGGCGGCGGCTCCCATTGCGGAGCAGCAGCTGAGCCGTGGGAAGGGGGGGGGGTGGTTCTCGTGGAGCCGGCGCGCTGCCTCATGGGTAGGCTCCGGGTCAGCCTCCGCGCGTCCGGGTTCCCTTTCTTCTCGCCGACGCTGGAGGCGGGCGCGGGCATGTGCGTCGCGCCGCGGGCCCTCGAAGGCCGGGGCGCCCCGCCACGCGCCCGCCGCGGGCGAGGGCCAGGGCTCGGCCTGGCGAGACTGTGGATGGCCACCTGCTTATTCCTTGCGGGCCGGCGGGAGGCAGCGATCCCGAAGTCGGGGTTGCACCGTAGGTGTAGGAATGGGAACGTGAGTTCCGGGTCCTCCCTGTGTGTAACAGCTAGTATTCGCAGGCTTGGAAAGTAAGAGGGTCTAGGAAGAGAGGCGCCATTACAAAGAAATACTGTGCAGGAGGGGCGAAGACCTACGCCAGAGGAGAAGTAGAGTCGGGCTCTCTTAGTAATTAGCTAATTTTCCCATATTTGTTTCAAACAGACGATTTCACTTGTGTCTCCTTTAATTCTTAACTCTGCCATTTGGATCCCTGTAATCACTTTTTTAAAAAGATTAAGTGCATTTACAAGAACAGTTAGCAAGATACTGCCTGCATAAATACTTGCTACATCTTATATGTTGATCTGTAAGGGAAGTTTCCTCTCCCAGTTGTCTTCACAAGATCACTCTTGCTTCCGTAGATTTTAACATACACCAATCACTGCACAAACCCATCACTGAATTGTACTAATTCTTCCTGTTTGATTTAGTTTCTTCTTTCTCATCCAGACGTCCCCCCCAGCTTTTCTATGGTGTTTAACATTACAGCCACTTCCTTATTGAATACCATCCTCAAATTAATCACACCAAAAGACCACTTAAATTATTCCTACACCCGGAAAGGCTATAGGTAACCATGACCTAGAGTCCCCCAAACTGTGCCCGAGTTAATCTATCCAGCTTTCTCTTTCTTGCCCTGAAAGTAAGCTTTACAGGAAGAGAGAATAATCAAAATACCAAACTGGAAATCTAGAAGTTCAAAAATCTTGCCATATTCTTAAGTCATTGTAGCTCAAATATAGTTCTAATGGTTTGCAAAGCATGTTATGGTAATGAAAATGAACTGAAGATTTCACTCTGTGTTCTGTAGTTTGGTCCCAGGTGTAGAAACAGAAACTTAATGTTGTAAGACCCTAGAGCTAATTTAAATCGAGGGCATGATTCATGTCAATCAAACCTACTAGAGACTGATGTACAAGCCAAAATTTAAATTTATTCCTTTTTTTTTTTTTTCTTTCATGGCAAGCATATCTGCCCTGAAGACCAGAAAATTCTGGGTGACACATTTTCACTCAAAGGAAACATTTACATGAGAAGCCAAATTATAAGAGATTTCCAATGAGTATGAAAACAACATGCATGAAGTAATTTAGATGATTTTTTTGATGACTCCATCCTTAAAACTTCTTCCTTGGCTGGTAGAACATGACTCTCTTCGTTCTCTTGACTTATTGTTCACACTTTCCTATCATTTTTTAAGAGTTTCTTTCTCTGATTTAACAATTTCCTGCCCCTTAACTTTCTGTACCCACTTTTTAAGTATCCTCACAGTACTTATTCTCCTTAAGTGAGGTCATGCTCCACACTCTTCCCATTTTAATCTTTTTTAAAAAGTAATGGACAGAGGTGATTGCCGAGCTTCCATTTTCACCTCTCCATTGTGCTCACCTATACAATTTGGGTGGAATAACCACTACCCACCCCTAATTCCAAGAGTGGTCCAGCCAGCCTAAAACTACTAGAAACACCCTTACCTCCCTTTGAACCAGTTTTTGTTTCAGAAACCAATCAGAGTGAAGCCCAGGATTTTTGTTTGACTGTGGGAAAAAGAGATTTTTTCTTTCTCTGGATGATAGGGCCTTGACATTAGAATGTGAATACTGGAAGAGCTACAACTTTTTGTCTACTACAGAGAGCCAACTGATGATAAAGCTAACAGGTGGAGGAGGAAGGACTGGGTGAATCAATCTTAGAGAAAGAAACACAATCTCAGACCATCATAAACCTCCAAATCAAACCCGATCTGAACCCTATGCTACCTCTAGACTTCTCTGTTATATGAGCAAACAAATTCCCCTTTTCTTTTTAAGCTGAAGGGGTCCAGAATAAGCCTCTGTGACATAAAAATTATTTTTAGCTGAAGGCATTTGAGTTTCTGAAATCTCTTATCTGCCTGAAAGCAGAGCCTCCCAAAAGAACTCAATTGTCATAAATCTCCTCCCAGGCAGCAACGAGAGAAGATCGGCTCTTATCACCAGAGACAATGAGAATTGTCACCACACCTAAAGAGTCATTGTGCCAAAACTATCATATCTCCCATCTATTTTCCTAAGGGCCCATTTATCTTTCCTAAATGTCATTTGTTTTCCCATAAGTGCACACTCTCCCCCACACCCCTTCCACTAAGTCATTTGTTTTCATGTAAGCGCCCTCCCCACCCCCATCCCCTGTCCACCTATTAAAATTGTATATAAACCCCAATTTCTAACCACTCCTTTGAGTCACTTATCTTGGTAAACTCCCTCACATAGTATGTGATTAAAATCTGTCTATTCTCTTGCTAACCTGTCCTTTCATCAGGTTTAATTCACAAGCCCCCAAAAAGTAAATCTAAGAGGTTAGAGAAAAGTTCTTTCTGACAAAGCCAATTGAATTGGGTTTTCTGTTATTTACAAGTGAAAGCATCCTAACTGTGGTGGAGACAATAATAAGTACTCACCATCTTACTTTCCTCTTGCATACTGAGGAAACCCACATTTCCTAGTTCCTTTACTTCTGTATCAGGCCATGTGACTGTATTTGGCCAGTGCAACGTAGGCAGTGATTTCCCAATCTAAGCCTGACCTTTAAAACCTCCAGTGATTTATAGGTCCTTTCTGTTTTTCACATTTCAGTGGTCCCATACAGAAAATTCTGAGGAGCTAGGGGATGGCAGTAACATTGGATGGAAGAACTACAGGTCTTAAATAATTGCACAAAAGCACATCTATTACACAGATCCTCCCTGTACTGATTAGAGCAACACGTAAACCTTTACTGGGTTCTGACTGAGTTTTGAGGGTTGTTTGCTACTAAATTCACTAAACCTGATTAATAACAGAAATAGCGGCCTACTGTAACAAAAAATATAAAACATGCAGTATTAGTTGAGCATAGCAGTTAGGTGGGAATTAAGGAACCATGTAGTAGGCTGGATAACCAAAGATTCATATTAGCTGGTGGGTACACTGTTCTCTACAATACCTTAGAAGGCAGATCAGTACAAGTATATATTTTCTAGCTCTAAGGGAAGAGTTCGGAAAACAGTAGTAGATGTTGGTGATTTTTTATGTGTGATTTGTAAAATATTACCAGAAAAAGATTAGCATGGAAGAGAATTAACCAGTTTACCAAAAAAAAGAAAAGAAGGAAAGAAAACAGAATCCAGCATTTGAGCCGCCTTACAGAGTTTGAGAACACAATGCTTCCAGATTCCAAAGAGAGAGAGCTATATTTTAAAAGGCTTTGAGCAAAGAAGCCTCAGTAGCATTTGAACCGAATGACTCAGCCCTTAGGAAAAGATCAGATTACACACGTTGTTTCAGATAGTATTTATTGTTTCAGATAGCCTCAAAGAAGCAGCTACTATTTTTTCCCCAACTTTATTAAAGTATAAGAGACAAAATTGTATATAAATAGGATGTGATGATTTGATATGCATATCCATTGTGAAATGATTACCACAAGAATTAATCACCACATCCTTCCCCTCATACAGTTACCGTCACTTTGCATGTATGTGGGAGACAGCTTAAAATCTACTCTTAGCAAATTTCAAGTATACAATACAGTGTTAGGCTATACTTTAGATCCCCAGAACATATCTTATAATTGAAGAAACAGGTATTAAGTTGAGAAACCGATTTGATTACGAAAGCAGAGAAATAAGGCAGCTTTTAAAACCATGTCCCCAGAGGGTTATATGGTTGGTGCTTCAACAATTACTTTTGGGTATCTATCTACCTTTTTTGGGTAGTCCCTTTGCCACAAGCTCCGTTGTGCCTTTACTTCCAACAGCCAGGATCTGCAGCTCTTTTTCAGGGGACTACCCTTAGGCTATTGGAGCCACTTCACCTGCCTTCATAGAGACTGAAAGAAACTGTGAATAATGCCAGCACTTTAACCAAGGACTGATAAATGCAGGACTGTGGAAGCCCTAACTTTCTTGTCTTGGGTGAGAACAACTTTGAGGCATGACCTACACTCCAGAATCCCGCTGTAGGACCAGGCTGAGGCTACCTTCTATAGGGTTTTGTCTAATGTACCATTGCTGGTGTGCATGTTAAGCTAATATGCTAGCTCCAAAGCCACCCTTCTTAAAAGATAAATGGATATTTGGGATGAGAAGAGTGGCTTAAAGATGGAGATAATCACTTACTTTCCTCCTCTGAACATTTCCCATCCCTTTCACATTCAAGTAGCAGCATGTAACTAGTTCAGGCCAGTGGAATGTCATCAGAAGCAATTTACACCAATGCTAGGAAGAGTGGTTCAGAGACCAGTATTGTTCCCTGATTTGTTTGTTTCTGGTCCATTTCAAGGTAAGTACAGCAAATGAAAATGTTTAGAAACTTTTATAGAAATTTGACATTTTCACAACATTTTTATTGTCTTCTACAAAAGTAATAGTCTGTAACAGATTGTAAAGTTTTTAAAAAGTGGTCCTTTGCTACAGATAGTTTGAGCTGTGTGCTAACAACACTTCTAGCTCAGCCTCTAAAACCTCTTTACATTTTTCCCAGACATTTTTGTTCTTCAGTTGGTCATGTGCAGAGATCTACCAGAGTCCTCGAAGCCCTAGAAAACAGTTGGAGGTACTAAGTAGAAGAAACCTGGGGTTTCTGAATGATTGATGGAAAAGAAACACCTCCCCCAACAAACATATCAATATTCACTAGACTATAAGGTGAAACATAAACTTTAATATGTTAAGTCTCTGGGATTTGGGGGTT